ATATATTAATACTAGAATGCATTTCTGAATAAATAATCTTGATAAAGATGATATCGCCACATCATGATCTATTTTTACAATCTTTTAAATAGATTACTCGAATAAAGCGCTATTAATTAAAGCTTCGTTCGCGTAATATAAAATGATGAGATTTAATAAGCATCTAAAGTTACGGCATTCTGTAATGCGGTCTCGTCGGTAAGAATAATCATAGGACAATATGCGCTTTGAAATAATGAAATAATGCCGCAGCGATGTGAAATAAATGGGCATTGCGAATATATTTCGGCAAAATTGTGTTGTGAGAAACATGCCGTTTGCACAAATCACCGTTTATGGAACATTCTTACTTAATCATCGTTACGGAACATTATTAAGAAATTGTTTAAGCAACGTGGAATCAATGTAAATTATACCTCTTCATGTTTTGTATGCCATCGTATTAAAAAAAAAAAAGATATTTCTTCCTAAAAAATATAATCACTAATATTTGCATAAAACAAGTACTATTATAAATTTTATTAATGCAAGCAATATATTTCGTAGATAACATGTCATTACAATAAAACAGTTTTTTAAGCTATTTTTGTACAATATATATTACAAAAATTATTCAATGTCGGAAATATATATATATATATATAATTGCAGTTATATATATATAATTGGGATACTCCGGTATAAAATGTGTGTGCGGTTTAAATTTAAGGCTATTTCTTAAACAATAACAAATCCATATTTGATTGATGTTAAAGTTAATTATACGTTTCACTTTAAATATATTGTACGATTTATGATGGAATTCAAAACATACAATCGTAAGAAAAATATATATTCCGCGTTGAAGGACTTTAAAATAACTATATTCGAAATTGCTATATTTACTATACAGATGCAACTCGAATCCTATTCGTGTATATACAATATATAACACGAGAAAAGAGATAATGCTATATAATAGTGCTCTTTTTCATTTCGGTGCATCATAAACATCAGAGTTTATGCTTGTTCATTATAACACCGACTGTTACGAGCAATCTTCTATTTCGTATCTATTTTTAGCGTATCTACTATGTCGTAATAGAAATTGGTTCAAGGTCATCGTTAATAATACCTAAGCTATATCTTCTGTAATAGTGGGACGCGATGCATTTGACTCGATCGAGTTTCTTCTGACTTACATTCATTACGCTTATATCGGTGCTCCACAGTGGATTATCTGGGCCGAATTCCATATTTTCATATTGTATCACATCCTCCTCTTCCGCCAATATCGGATTTACCATGAAACACCCAGTGAGCCCTCCGTAAAACGCGTAAGCTCGCAGCTCCGTCTCCAGCCATTCCCGATCGAGTCCCGCCAGGATCTTCTCGTCTACGTTTAATCGACGGAGCTCCTTGAGAAACTCACTATGATAAATCCTAATGAGACTCTCGTAGCTTTTCTCGATCAACGACGATTGCACACTGGTGTATATCAAGTAATGGATATCGGTGGACACCGAGGTGTGTCTATATATCTGATAATCCACCATTTTCAGATCGATTATCTTGCCTTCGTTATCGTGCAAAAACATCATATTATTAATCCACGGATCGCCATGGCAGATTGTGTGATATTTCTGCTTCGGCGCATTGAACATTCGATATATTGTGTCGTAAGTTTTGTCAACGTAACTGGCAATGTGGTCTATGATAGCTTGCAGCTCCTGCGTTCGCGGTTCTATTACTTCTAAAGATTTCACCGCCGACTTTATACACATTTCGGTACACGATCTCATTACCGATGTTTCGGAAATGTCGTTGTAAACCACCTCTTCCAAAGACTCGGTTAATTCATCGAACAACTGCGGATCATTGATTTTTACCGCTAAAGCGGATGCGTGTAATTTGGCAAGTTTCTGAAAAGAAAATATACAAAATATATGCGCACATTTTCAAATATCGATTATTTTGCTCGTAATGCGTGAATCTTTCTATGATTACCGTATTATCGACGGATTCTTGATAGGAAGTGATATCAATTCTAGTGAAATGATAAGTAAACTGAGAAGTGATACATATTAATATTTAACAAAAATAAAATATTTTTTACAACCATTATAAATAAGTAATAAAGATATAAATATGTGTGGATATGTAGTAGAGTAGTATTATAATAGTAGTAATAATAGAAATATTGTAGAATGTATAGTATATGTTATGTATAATAGTATAGTGTGTGTAATAATAATATTAATAATAATAATAAAGCATTTTCTAATTAATTTTCAAGTTATAACCAAATTTTAATTTGAAACTTAAAATATTCAATCAAATTTTTATCAAAAAAATTCAATCTTATATTAATTAAAGAATGTATAATTTATCAATATCATTTGCGTGATTATTCGTAAGGATACAAAGAGCAAGGTTAACATTGACAGTTTTTATCTCGATATCCGACTTACGATCATTCCAATGTACAAGAGGCTGACAAAACATATATCATTAATCATCTTAATCTGTGATACTAGACAATCTTTAAAAATTATTTTGCTGTCTGGATCTCTCCAGACAGTATTAATCGATAATTATTGCTCGACTGTCAGACAATTGTGTCGATATAATCAAGAAAGGTGAAGTTCTCTAAACTTTCACATGTTATATACATATTACTATTATATCATTTCTTGTAGCTCTTTCTTGTTCTACGTTTTAATAATATTTAATAATCCTTAAAGTTGTAATATCAATTCATGAACATTGCACACAAAATGACTTGCAAATCTGCCAGCGACACACGCAATTATAATTTGATCTATTCATCTATTTTATTATCTTCGATGCAACAAATCATGAGATAAGACAAGCAATTATTGTTTGAATGATTAATTGAAAAACGCATACCTTCAAGATAAAGACAGTGTGATCCAAGTCCAGAAAGTTGCGTCTCTCGCAGTTGACGTACCCCTTCTCCGCTAGATCTTCCATTATTATATTCTCTCTGTCGGCATATATACATCGAGGACCAAAAGATCCAAGGACGGGCAATATTTTTCGATAGGCATGTGTCTCCATACGGAATAGAGCGTAGAGATCGATTAATTCAGAGATTGCGCGCCTTTGGACGATACTTTTTGTAATAATATTCTTGATATACGCTGTGCACGAATAAGAAAACGAATTCAAGAAAACATGTCTACAAGATGTACATCTATATCGCTATTTTCTCCACAGGAATACAATAGAGCGATATATTATTTTAATTGAAACAATATGTCAAGAATCAATATAAATATTTGCAATCGTTATCGATAAAGCGATAGAATTTAGCCTATAACAATAAAATTTTAAAAAAATAAACACTCTTTTATATATAATATTTGTAATTGCAATCATGCATATATAAAGTGTGTTACTAGAAAAGTTGTCATTTAAAATAAAAATAATATAAAGCAAAAATTCTAATATTATTATATACACGATGACTATATTCAAACATCGCGTACGTATCTTGAATCAATTGTGCTGCAATATTGAGATAACGTCACTTTTCATCGAGATAACTTATGATTGCGAAGTTATGTAACTGAGAGAATTATATTGCGTCTCGTGGTGAATCAAACTTCACGACCAGTTTTACCAACAATTTTCATTTGTCCTTCATATTAAACGTTAAAGTATAATAATAATAATACTAACGACTTCCGTCCCCGCGTCTACCGACGAGTTTCGTTTTGATTAGCACCGACGTGTAATTGTCTCCAGGTTTCGACCCCGGCCTGTCCACAGCCTCCAAAATCACCAATTTGTCATCGTTCTCGTACTTTCTTAGATAAGCTTGGATTTGCTTTACCTTGTCTGAAAATTAAGCATGTCAAATTGATGTAATGGCTCCAAAATATGACTAGGACAATATATTAGAATGAATACGGCACATATTAGTCTCGTGTGATCTCACTGACATTATTATTTCATGGTCGCGACCGCGATAGATAAATTGACATGACCCTATCTGTGCATACAAAGTAGACAAAATAAACTATAACCGCGCATATATAAGCGTTGACAGTGACATGCTTATTAAGAACGAATAAACGACAAAATTGATGTCCATAACTATGCAATATTTTTGCCATGGATGTAAGAAAAAAAATTATTGATAAACAAGAAAAAGTAATTGAATTCTGACACATATTTTGTCATTTATAACTATTTTATTATTATATATTTCATTGACATTTCAATATTGTATTATAATTTTCAATTAATTTGGAACAATATTTACTTCAATTTAATTAGAGATTAAATTATGAAAATATTTAATATTGAAAACTGTAAAATTTTTTTTTTATAACAAACTGCAAAATAAATTCTATGGAAACACGGACTATAAATTCGTCAAAAGTGGCTCGACAGGAAACGTCCTTATCTCAAGGATGTTCTGTGCAATTATTTGCGAAAGACAGGTGCAAATTTACTCTCGCTACGGATGTGAACAATTCTATGATGCCTGGCGATTCTAAATATCGCAAGCCAACGTATAAATTATATCCATGCGGGAATGGACGATATTGATGCTATTATAATAGGTTATTATAGCAAATTATAAATGGTAAACAACTATCAAATATTGCATATGATGAGATCGACTCTATTGAAAAACGCTATTAACGCCATATTCATATTTTACATTCACAGCGTTAAATTATTGTTGCGTCATTTTAGCTTTTTTGCTACAAAAAAAAGGCATATACAAGGTGTCTCAGAATGATCTGTCTTTTGGAAATTGCGTCAATGTGTTCTTAATGAAGATATGGAAAAAACATAAGATATCGTAAAAACATAAATACTTAATTATTAAAAGTTAACTAAAATATAAAATATAATAAAAATGCTAAAACATACAGACTTGCTCGTATAATTTGTATGATACAGCATAAGAATAAATCAACAACATTTATCTATTTTGTTTGCAGTTGTTCAATAGTTGAAATTGCTGAAAATAATGAGTGTTCAACTGTCATACATCTCTCGTTACTTTCTATTCTCATCCGTCCAAAACGTCCATATAAGCCTAACATAACTGAGCAATTAAGTTCATTGCCCTATGAATTTCATGTCATATTTATCAATCTCAAATAAATACAATTCGCACAAACATGTTAGATAAACATCGTCGACCTTCTTACGCCGTACTGTAATAACAATAAGAGCGAGTCCGTTATCGTTTTCAATATACTTTGTATTCTCATCATAACTTTTTAAAATCCTATAAAGCATTTATAAGACTTGCAATATTTATATAACATTTTTTTAGTTTTACTCGTAGAACATACTGACATTATTTGGCTGAAAAATATTGCGACATCCTGTATAAAAAAAATTTCTATTCTTTAGCAGTCTCTAATATTTATCTCTATTTTTTGAATAACGCTAATTTCTTTCACAGCGCGGAAAAAAATAATATCAGCCATAGATATATCAATTTCGATTATACTCGCGTAAAAGATATGATCTTGAAGACAGCATCCCAGATCAAGACCTATATAACGAATTTTCTGAATCCTTCAAAACTTTCTTAGGTCCCTAAGTAAAGCAATCTAATAAACCTTAATTTATTTCATTTAGTTGATAAAATGCATATGTTAACGTAGCATAGTAACGTCGCCTGATATATTCAAATATCGCTGACTTATAAAAGTTTCTGCAAACGCTTCATTTGAGCGAACGTTTACCTGCCCTAAACGCTTTTAGTTATGCGCGAACACTGTAGCGAAAAAGTAAAAAAATAAATTTTGATTGCCTACATTTGCATACAAAGTTTATAATCGACTGTTTTATGATACTAACAATACGAATCGAAATACTATCGAAACGATATTACGCAACAAAAAATCCCGTTTGCGGCACAAGACGTAATACGGATCTACACTATGTTTTACTTTATCTGCAAATCTGCAACAATCGCAAAAATCTGCTAATTTGCAAATCGTAGAAATAAAATTATGTGATTTGTTCAACTATATAAAAATCGATGTTTATATATGCTCGAAATACATGTATTCTTAAAACACTCAATATCTACGATCTGATTGCCGCAATTAAAAAATTCGTTATTTTAAATTATTACAAATAATATATAAAATATAAATATATAAAAAATATAGCATTTTATTAATTTTTAATTATTTTAACGGTTTTTATATACACTATTGCTCGAATTAAACAGAAAAAAATTCGAAGAATTTTTCTTGCTCAAATCTTCATTAAAAGATAAAATAATAGCCACTATAGATAGATAAATGATGACAAAGATAGGAACTATCATTTTATATGAAAAAGATGATAAGAAAATGACACAGCAGTAATTCACGATAACAATTAATTATCAATCATTACCGATTACACATAGTAACCATCATCTTTTTATTTAAAATTTTAAACACATTTAAAGTTTAACTTATTAATTGTCAGACAATCGTTAAAGCTTATTATATAAAAATTGCAAACTATATGCTCTTTTGAAAATTATCACAGATAAATAAATATAGATAATAAATAAGATAAATTGAGATAATAAGTATATTATATTATCACACACATTAAATAAAATATATGTAAAATTATATTATATTATAAGATAGAAAATTATCCCCAAGCAAATACGTTCCTTTGGTGTCATTTCGGAAATAAATAAATATCACATACACACACACACACAAAGAAAACAATATACAACACAAAATGAAACAGCAACGGAAATTATTTATGTTAAATACGGCAAAAGAATACATCGCAATGATTAGAAATATAATTTTTATTAGCTCTCTAATATAGTGGAACCATTAAAGGATTGTTTTCAATTTACGCGACAGATATTTTAACGTGAGATCTTACGTACCTTCGACGGAATGGCTAACCGATCTGTTCTCCATCGTTGTGTATCACTTCACTGATCACGATCGTTTAGGAGTCTTCGCTATTTGTACGACTCGTGAACGCGCGCTTGCACGACATACGTTCATTACAGAAGAGCGAATCGACGCGCAGTGTGAGACGCCCCTCTGCACGTGTCGTTTTACTCCGATCGTGTGAAAGTGACGTAATATTGCATACGTTGATTACACATGATTATGCAACCAATCGAATATAAACTCAGTTCATCTTTTACTGAAAGTGGTGACATTGACGTTTGCAATAAAGTGTCTCTTACTGTGTAGTCTCCCCCTCTCTCCTTCTCTGTATATCTTGCTTGTTATAAACGACTTATCTTTGAGATTAATTGACAAGGTAAGATACAGCAAAGCGAAAAATTTGTAAGAAGAAAAATACGTCCTCTTTTTATATAATGAAGTAATTAAACAAAGAGACAATCTCGATATCGTATATTGATAATGTATATCGTAATTTTATCTCATCAACAATATACTTTAAAAATAATTTAAGAATAATTTAATCAAATTGGAATAGAGAGATATATGTGTTGATATACAACAAAGTATCAATTATAAGCTAAACATCAATTAAGTATCCTTAATTAAAAATCCTCCTCAATAGTCAAATATATAAAACAAACGCATACATTTAATTTATATATATCCCACTACCACCGTCACCATATCTATATAATCAGTGCCTTAACCATGCGAAAGATATCTAAATATACCTGTAGTTATCGACATTGATGTGTCATTGAGTCATAAATGCTGTTTGCATTTCCATCAACAAGAATGTAATATGGAATAATATAGTATGATATAGTATAAAATGCACATTTTCAATTAATAATAGCATTACGCACTAACAATTTATTAATCTAGCTATTATTGGATAATTAGGTAAAATTAATTCTTAACATATAAATTGTTAATTATATCTATATCAATTTGAATGATGCACTTACCTTTATGACTTTATGTTTGTCTTCGTGGATAAATCGTTGTTTGCGGAGAAAAAAAATTATGTAATGTAAATGAAACAAATTTGAAGGTAAAGAAATGTAATAATAATAAAAAAGAAATAGAATATTTTCAGACAAGGAAATGGTACAAGAGATTTTACTCATTTTTCCAAATCGACATTTTTGATAATACCCATGTGTTCACATACAGGACAACCTTTATTATCTTAATGCTGTACTATAGTCACAATATAATACTACGAATTATTACAATATTAATAATATTATCATAGTCATAATAGGTCATAATTTTTAATATATATGTATATTTTTATATGTATATTTATATGTGTATTTGTGTAATATATTAATATACTTATCTATACCTTGTGTGTTGTTACATGATTCCTCTCTTTTACCTTATCACTTAGCATATATAGATATAATGTATATGTATATATATGTGTATATATATGTACGTATATATATATACATATATATACATATATATACATGTACATATATGTCATCAGGATGGTATAAATAATATTGTATTTCATAAAAGCACTTCTTGTTGCTTATAATATTATCGTTTTCATATTGTTTTTCTATCTCTGTTAATGCCACTCTTTCGCAACTCGTTTTGCTCCCTCTCTTTCTTTCCCACTCATACTTTCTCCCTTTCGTTTTCTTGCTTAGCCTCTAGCTATCATACACATCACATTCTCACTCTTCTCTTTTCTTTCTCTCTTTTCTTTCATTCTTTCCCTCTCGTTTCCATTCACTCGCTCTTCCTCTCCAGGACGTCTAAAAAAAATTTTTACTGTCTATGAACTCTGCACTCGCTGTCTTTCTCTCTTCTCTCTCTCTCTCTCTCTCTCTCTCTCTTTCTTATACTATCATTCAAGTATCATTTAAGAACATTACAAGTCCCACTGTATTTCCTTTAACCGATGGCCAACGTTTTTTTTTCTGCACACTTAATTTTCCTTCGTTTCTTATAGTTTCGGTTTTGCATTTTCTTTTTTTCTTTTTTTTTTTTTTTTTTTTTCATTTTTTTAAATTATGAAATTCGCCGCGGTTTTACGATATTAATGTTCCTGCTGCCTGGTCCACTAACATTCCTAGAAAAAATACTCTTCGCCCCGACATTTTATTAACTATACCCGAGAAACGTACTATTTACGAACGGATATTCTAAACCCTCCGAGTGCTCTCTCTTCCTTTTTATCCCTCTCACATCTTTTTTCGTAGAGAGATATTTTCTCTTTTTTTTCCACCACTTCAGAACAATTTCGGACAAGAGGCACGCACAAGCAAAGGATCGAAAAGGTGCGAGATTCTCGAATTCTTTGTTGTTCTCGAATCCAGAGCTGGGAAAAATATTATAAAAATATATTTCAGGTATAAAATATATATATAAAAAATATTATTAATAGGTCATAATTTTTAATATATATGTATATTTTTATATGTATATTTATATGTGTATTTGTGTAATATATTAATATACTTATCTATACCTTGTGTGTTGTTACATGATTCCTCTCTTTTACCTTATCACTTAGCATATATAGATATAATGTATATGTATATATATGTGTATATATATGTACGTATATATATATACATATATATACATATATATACATGTACATATATGTCATCAGGATGGTATAAATAATATTGTATTTCATAAAAGCACTTCTTGTTGCTTATAATATTATCGTTTTCATATTGTTTTTCTACCTCTGTTAATGCCACTCTTTCTCAACTCGTTTTGCTCCCTCTCTTTCTTTCCCACTCATACTTTCTCCCTTTCGTTTTCTTGCTTAGCCTCTAGCTATCATACACATCACATTCTCACTCTTCTCTTTTCTTTCTCTCTTTTCTTTCATTCTTTCCCTCTCGTTTCCATTCACTCGCTCTTCCTCTCCAGGACGTCTAAAAAAAATTTTTACTGTCTATGAACTCTGCACTCGCTGTCTTTCTCTCTTCTCTCTCTCTCTCTCTCTCTCTCTCTCTTTCTTATACTATCATTCAAGTATCATTTAAGAACATTACAAGTCCCACTGTATTTCCTTTAACCGATGGCCAACGTTTTTTTTTCTGCACACTTAATTTTCCTTCGTTTCTTATAGTTTCGGTTTTGCATTTTCTTTTTTTCTTTTTTTTTTTTTGTTTTCTTGCAATTTATAAATTATGAAATTCGCCGCGGTTTTACGATATTAATGTTCCTGCTGCCTGGTCCACTAACATTCCTAGAAAAAATACTCTTCGCCCCGACATTTTATTAACTATACCCGAGAAACGTACTATTTACGAACGGATATTCTAAACCCTCCGAGTGCTCTCTCTTCCTTTTTATCCCTCTCACATCTTTTTTCGTAGAGAGATATTTTCTCTTTTTTTTCCACCACTTCAGAACAATTTCGGACAAGAGGCACGCACAAGCAAAGGATCGAAAAGGTGCGAGATTCTCGAATTCTTTGTTGTTCTCGAATCCAGAGCTGGGAAAAATATTATAAAAATATATTTCAGGTATAAAATATATATATAAAAAATATTATTAGAAAATCTTTCGAAAAGTATATTTTCATTACCAAAATATGCGATTTACGAAATACGTTTCAAGACGTAAGAATACATCAATACTTTTACAAAATCGTTTGATTAAAAAAGAATATAAAATAAAAAATAATCTTTCTCACTCAAAATATTTGTGTCAAAAATCATGTATAGTTGAAATATGTATTTGCCCAGTTCTGGAATCCGAGAGATTGGCTTTATAATTTTTCAGTATTGATAATATTCTAGAATGAATTCACGCGAGAGCACTCGCTGATTTTACATACATTAGTACGTATCTATATATTAACTCATTAAGAGAGTTATGTGTTTTCGGATGTAACTAGATTCTAACAATAATACAAAATATTATTCGCCCAATACCGACGTCCAAAGAGTGCGAAGGATTAAGTCTATACCTCTAATTGTCACGATGCGCACAGAGAACTTTACGTGGGCATACATAGCTTCATCGCGAAATGTGTGGGCGATATAAAGAAAGAAAAAAAAAAAGTTATAAGAACGAAGGAAGAATCGCGGGCTACGAAACTTTCAAGACGAAAATGTAACTTTCGTCGCAAGTTCCGGCTTGCTGCACCTGAAGAAATATCGGAGAGTAGGCGTTACACTTTTCTCTATCCTCGACGTTAAAAGAACGAGTACATACGAGAGAATCGAACCTCGGTCATTCCCTCCATCTCTGTACTTTTATCCGACTCGCGATCGCTTTCGTTTCTCACACGACCGCCGTTTGCACGTCGAGCGTTATAGCCATAATCGTCGACTGGAGTCGCTTCCATTGATATGTCGTGGGGAAAACTCGACGGATATAAGACATACGGTTGAGAGAGATAATTGAAACGTGTGAAAAATCAAATGTACACATATCCTAATAAATGCCCACAAGATAAACGTAAATGATAAATCGTATTGTTATACAAAGAACGTGTAACGAGATACAAAGTCTCCGCTACGTGAAAGCGTTATTTCGATAGTAGCACACAATCTCCCCGTTTCATAGGACACGAAGCATTAAAAAACCTCGAAGAAGCCGAGAAAGAACACAAGTCCCTTTGGAAGAAAGTACATTCGTTTTAATAGGCCTCTTTAATAAGCGCTTCACTATTCAAAGCTCTCCGCCTGCAAAGCTCTCGTCGCTTCCTCGACTCGAGGGTTTCCTCGTTCGAAACGAAGAAAATTGCGCCACTTTGAAATAATGCTTCTGTATAATGCGCGCCGAGTGGATGCATCGAAATGTGCTTCCTCACGAAACGCGACAGGTCGAAAGTGGAAAATAATCTTTGTCACGCGAGCTTTCTCGTCCCGGAGTCAGAATCGCGTCGCGATCCGCCTTATCATACGACGAATTGCCCTCTTTTTATCCGCCGATCGAACTTGGAATTTTTGAACACCCTGTATACAATCATTACGAAAATCGCTATTATACATCGATATTATAGCTGCGATTTACGATCAAGCGAGATTTAGCGACGGTCGGGAGCTGATAACAGTTTCTAATCGGTAATCAATTTTTTTTCTTTTTGATAATTGCTTCAATTATTAGTTGTTTTCTCGAGATCATCATGCATCGGGATGACAATAGCGTTTGTAGTTGGCTCCATCCAAACAAGAAGCTTAACGTGATTACGGAAAGATAAAAAATTCTCGATCTGCTCATAATTTTCCTCTTATCTGTGCGATAACATATGTTTGCGCTTTTACATAGAGATATCTTTAACGTTGATTACTTCCTACTTGAATTTAAATATTCGTTTAATATCGATTTATATAATTCATTATAATTAATATATGATATATGTATATATACGTATATAATGAAATGTGAACTACAATTGATTTTCTTACAGGTACTTACTTTCTTATTTATAAACGAGACAACATTAATTATGAACAGATCTCTCCAGCCGAACTGCGATACCTTCGCGTAAAGCCATTATATATCTTAAACTAATTTTAATTTAATCTTTTCCGAAGGATCGTGCTGG